TTTAGGGTGTAGGGTCTAGGATTTCGGGTTTAGGGTTTGGGGTTTAGGCTTCAGGGTGTAGGGTTTAGGGTGGACAGCAAAATTTCCGCGTGACCCCAAGTACATTATGTATACGGGACATATGGCACTACAGTATACTGAGGTGATGCAGGTTTGAGGGCTGGCGGTGCAAGGGAAGGGCCCCCAGAAAAGATGGTACTTCAGGGCGCATTAAAGCCTCAGGGTTCTCATGAACTCCAGTTCTGAAGGTTGCAGATGACATGCTATCTTATTGTCAAGCTTCAGATTAGCAGAGTTGGGCCTGTTTCACTGGTTTACTTTTTATTTGCAGCAGTCAGAACTCGACCCTGGACCCTAAACTTCAAACCTAAACCCTGAACCCTTAGGCACTGAACCCCTGGAGTATGGACAGTTGGCCCTCAAGCTTCCCCAAACCTTGAGCTCGACCGTCCAGACTCGGAAAAACTCAAAATCTCTCTACGGCTACACGTCATAGCCATGCCAGTCCTACGCACAACACACCCGACAAAGTAAGGAGAAGAATTGCCCGGGAGGAAATATTCGTGATGGCCTTGGTGGTACTAGCAACATCAGCAGTTGCAGCAGTAATACGAACGCATACAAGGGTACTAAAGTCATCACTGACATGCTGATGCTCGTCCTACTACAAGTACTCCCAATAGTGATGATGAATCTCACAATGATGACAACACAAGGAATCGTAGTACTAACGCTTCAAAGAAGAAGCAAAGACAGCAGTCAGTACGTGCGGCTTCCCAATTCTGAGCAATGCAGGCAGGTGTCCTCTGATGTGTCTGGCGGAAGGTCCCCAGCCATCCTGGCGCATCGGGCAGCTTGGCGCAAGAGAAAACGCTTTGGTGATGGTGGCAGCGGTGGCGGTAGCGGTTGCTGCGGCGATGGTGATGATGACTGTAGCAACAGGCAGCGATAGTCGTCATCGCCGTCGCCGGCATCGCGGGCGTCACAGTCGCCGTCACCGCCGCCATCGCCATTGCCGCCAGTAGTAGTAGCAGGAGTAGTAGT